CTAACGAGCCAGATTTTTCCCTGAGGGGGTGCATGGAAACCCAAACAGAGTTTAAATGAATACATGAATACAAATTATTGATAATGTTACTACATATCTGTTGGATGCATAAATATATATATATAAATATATAATAAAATAATTAATGCAGATTTAATAGCACAGACATCCATACATTGTATTCTGTTCTCTATGAACTGGTGTATTTTATAGATTTTTGACATCATATCAACATCATCACCACAAAAATAAACTTCCTTTCATTCACATTTTTACTTGAAAGAATAAATGAATGGAGCTAAATATTCTCCACTGCAGGTATTTCAAAATGGAACCATGAAAGATCACTGTAATGTAGTGAATGTACTCAACAATATCAAGCCAACATTTAGCTGTTCAGTCATTAAAGACCAGTCAATAGTTTTTACAGGCCCAGATTTAAGCAGTACTTAATAAACAAGGGTTTATAGATGATGGATTTTATAATATTCATGCACACCATTCTTCAAAAATACTTGAATCCAGCTATTTCTCACAACAGTTATATCTGGAAAGGAGCATAATGAGTAATTTCTGACTGATCACTGTAACACTACCCTGGGCCATTGTTGGTGGGTGTGAGGTGTCACCACACGGTCATATAAAATTACAATAAACTGTTATTATGAAGCTGCCAGGAATTAATTGGAAACAATGGGGTTTTCGCTACCCGCTGTGGTTTCCTCTGCGGACATCAGTGGTTGTGGTAAACGCACGCCCTTGCTGTTGAGTCACAACTTGTACGTGACCGAGGCAGTAGCTGCACGGACGCCTGTGACGTGCCCGACGTCACATCACTGTGGGGCCGGACACTGACGTTACGGTGTCGACGTCAGATGTTCAGAAAGCGAAAATTAATGAGTCAGAAACGGAGGAAGTGGCAGTCGAAGAGCAACATTGCGAAGGTAAAGTACAGCTTTGTGTTCGTGTTGTAGCTTTTTTGGCTTTTATTGTCCTGTTGGTTTGTCTTGAAGGTAAAAGATGGAGCTAATTGTTTCTTAATGTCCTCCCTCCCTCCCTCCCTCCACACGGTGAGCGACAAAGTGTGCCGCGATATCTGACCTATGCTGGGGGCTGTTCTCTATTTTACGCTTAACTGTGCGAAATTGAGTTTTACATTAGACTAATTACTCACCATATACATATATACATATGTGTATAAGGTTCAGCACATGTTCCCAGTTTGTAATTGTAACCTTCAAATGTTTGTTCTCGGTCACTGAATCATTTTCCGATGCAGTTTTCAGGAAGATGGATCCAAAGGACGACAAGCGAAAGGCATTATGCAGCAGGTGAGGAGTTCCAGTCCTAAGTCCATGTCCCTAATGTATGTATTAAATAACGCCGGTCCAATGTACTGTTTAACACAACTGATGCAGACACACCTTAGGCTATGTTTTTAAGGTAATTGTAAGGTTTGAATCAGGAAACTACCGGGTGTGTCAGGATATCTTTGACAAAAAACTTGGCTTTGGGAATAAAACCGGAACTGAAAAAGGAAACACTGACACTGAGAACAAGTAGTGTCACTGAAAACAAAAACACACTCAGACATGGAAAGTTTCATTTTATTTTGAAGTTTACGTAGCCTATTCTGATGTGTTTTTCAGTGACATTGTTAGGATTGTTTCTTCACGTCTGTCTTTTGTCAGGGACAGTTTTACCCTGTCATTATTTTCCCATTTTCTGTGGTTTTCAGTTTCTATTTTACACCGTTTTGCTGTGGAGAGGAGGATCTTTAAATGAGACACACTGAGTCTACTTCTGCTCTATCTGGTTAGCTACAAAGCATAGAGAAAATCTTGATCCTGTGATTGACTGAACTGATACAAATGTCATAACTCAGTCAGCAACTTTATACATTCTTTACCTTAAACAGTTGAACTTGCAGGCAATGAGGAAGATACTGTATACATTAAAAACCCAACTTTTTCTCTCTTAATATACATGTTCTCACACTGATATACAGTATGTGTAGTATACACATGCATTACAGCTAAAGCTGAGACAGTCCAATACAACAGCCCTGCAATAAAGCAATAAACCCTACTTTCATGAAGGTTTGACTGTTAATTTTAGTTTTCGAGAGGCGTTGACTCAACCCTAAGTTCATTTTGTAGAATGTAGTTTGTGGTGCTGTTGAACTGTATTACATTTTACAAACAGGTGTTTCTGTTGTTTTGTTTTCCATGAAATGTTCATGGCTTGATAACACAGGGTTGAGTGAGAAAGTACGTTCTTTTATATTCAGTTGAACTGACCCAGCTTGTTCATCCACTTAATGAACGGAGTTAAACAAACTGGCAGTTCAGTCTGATTATCAGGTTAGAACTTAAAATCTGTCTCCTCTGCCCCCTCAAGCCCTGTTAGTGTGAACAACCCACACCTGGATGCACTGAAAGATGACATCCTCTACCACTTCAGTTTAGGAACCGGGACTCACAACCTTCCAGCTATGTTTGGTGATGTCAAAGTAAAGATTTTTTATTTCACATTGATTTGTGGAAAAAACACGTCCATAAGGATCTTTATTCAGCAGTAATTTATATTTATGTGTGTGTTTTCTTTCAGTTTGTGTGTGTCGGGGGCAGTCCCTGGAGAATGAAATCATTCATTGAGTACATTGCTGCTGAGCTCAGTATGGAAGACCCCAAATCAGAGTACCCAAATATCTGCGCTGGAACAGACCGCTATGCTATGTACAAAATCGGCCCGGTGCTCTCTGTCAGTGTAAGTAGGAACAAAATCCTATCAGAACATTTTGGTATTTTATAAACAAATGCTATACAACTAATAGTAGTTATCCTAATAATCTGAGTACTTTGTGTCCTTCAACTTCAAAACTAGATATGAAAATGACTGTGCTTTATTTTGCAGCATGGAATGGGCATCCCATCTATAGCCATAATGTTGCATGAGCTAATAAAGCTCCTCCATCATGCACATTGCACAGACGTTACAATTATACGCATTGGGACATCGGGTGGAATAGGTAAGCTTATTATTTGGAGATCTGTTTTGTTCCCTCAGTGCCTGATAATACATCTGATTGTTCATCTTTAAAGCCATAAATACTGCCACCACCCCAAGGCTAGTTCCCCTGTGCTTCTGTAAATTAACTTAATGAACTTGTGTAAGAGGAAACTACTCAGACAGGACTCAGACTCCCTGTTTCAAATGTTGTGAGTACTTGGTGTCCACAAAGATGCCTTTCCTTAGTTTTAACACAAGAGGGAGCCTGAACTCCCCAGGTTTGTGAGCAGTGTTATCCAATATGGCTGTTTGTGTATAGTTACTATTAGCTGATGGTGGTATTCCTCCAGTTTCCAAATAAGAGAAAATGCATATTTTTGTTTTCACTTGAGTGAGGGATGGAAATTAATTCTGATATCTACCTACCTACATTATGCCAAACATGGCACAAACCATTGGAAGGTTTCCTGCAGCATATATGAATGTACAGTACACATACTGTTTATAGTTGAATTAGACTGTACAACTGAATTACAAATCGAACTAATGGTATATGTTATTTGAGATCATTTAAAACAGGAGGTTGAAGAATTAATTTTAATGGTTTTTTAATCTGAAAATGAGCACAATGCTTTGTTAATATCGTCTTTATCAGTCCAGTATGTCCTTCCCACATATATATAAAAAATGGCTTTAAATCGAAACTTGCTTTCTGTACTTTCAGATCAGAAATAATTGTTTCTCTCACGTTTTGGTTTTCAGGGCTTGAGCCTGGCACTGTTGTTGTCACCAAGCAGTCTGTGGATGCCACTTTCCTGCCCAAGTTTGAGCAGGTGATCCTGGGGAAGACGGTGGTGCGCAATACTGATCTGGACCAAAGCCTGGCTGAGGAGCTGTTGCAGTGCAGCAAGGAGCTGAACCAGTTTGAGACAGTGATAGGCAACACCATGTGTACTTTGGATTTCTACGAAGGTATGATAGTTCTGATGCACTGATGTGTTACTCACATTGTTCAGCTGTAATGTGCATCTTTTGCCATCTTTCTGTCTGTCTTCTTCATGTGATCAATCACCCAGGACAAGCCCGTCTGGATGGTGCTTTCTGCTCCTACACCGAGAAGGATAAACAGGACTACCTCAATAAAGCCAATGAAGCAGGAGTCTGCAATATTGAAATGGAGTCATCCGTTTTTGCTGCCATGTGCAAGCTGAGTGGTCTACGAGGTAGGAAAATACAATATCAGCATTATATTATAGCTGACACCTTTTTCAGAGTCTCAAAACACAGATGTCACTTCCTAATATTCCTTTTTTGTTGCGTAAAGCGGCGGTGGTTTGTGTGACGTTACTGGATCGGCTGAAGGGGGATCAGCTGAGCAGCTCTCATGCAGTTCTTCACGATTACCAACAACGACCTCAGATACTGGTTGGCTCCTACATTAAGAAGCAGCTGAAGGCCAAAGCAGCGCGCAGATAAGTGGAACAGTAATTACACTCGTATGCCAGCACTTATGTTGAAACACTGAAAACAGAATGCAATGCAATAACACAACTTTACATTTTTTATAAACATTCTTTCCTGCTCACCAGTAACCATATGTCCAGAAAAATGATGCACTTCCTTCCATTCATCCGTGACACTTGTTTAGTTTATTGATATCACCGTCATAATAAACCGGCTTGCACTATTTCACTTTTGCTTCCTCATGTATTTTAAGAGTTAAATGTTTTGTTGCAGCCTGTGGCCATCAAATATGTCTTATTTAAGGCTGCCTCTGTTATATACAACATGTAACGTTCCTTATCCACAAAACTTGAACTACTTCTTGACTTGTGGCAGGTTTATGCTTCCAAAGGTGCTGTAACAAACTCACTCATTCACACTGCAAGCCTTAGCACTCAATTCAGGTTTATTGCTCAGATCTTTTTGCTTGGCTGTTCACATTATTTAATAATATAATATTTAAATGTGGTCCATATCAGATTCCAGTGTGAACACGTGACGGTCCTGAACTGACCTATAAGACATCATATGATGTCACACGCTTACCAAAAAAAATAAATAATAATAATGGTTATCAGGGCCAAACACCTCGCTGTCCCTCCACATGAATTCAGACTGAATGTCACAAGACCTTGACTGTTCACACTAAGGTCAAAATTGGACCAGTGTCTGGATTTGGACCATACTATGTATATAAACATATATGGTATAAAGTGGTATAATAATACATATATAAAAGTGCCAAATCAGATTCCATTAGTGCCTGTTCACATGAAGAAAAGTCAGATTTGGTCCTGCAGTGTGAATGTAGCCTATATGCTTTTAAATGTCACTGAAATGTTACTTGTTTCATGAAAACCAAACAATTACTCTCATATTGATAAATGTGTATTCTTATGAAAGTGTTAGTTGTTGCAAAACTTTACAAATATGTATCACCTGGAGTATCTTTTTTATGCAAAATGTATATTGTGTTGTTTTTTTTAGGATTAGGCTTCTGAAATGTTTCATTTAGAACCTAAAACTGCAACAAAATGTCACAAAATGTCATTTTGAAAGAAAACAAATCCACTGGATGTCTTATCACTAATAAAGCCTCATGCAGACTAAAGTGTTTTGTCCTGTTTGTCTGTTCATGTTTATGACATACTGCAGTTATGTCTTGGTGCAAGAAGCACTCTGGTAAATGTTTGAAGCGGGAGATTTGTTGCAGTATGAGCTGTTAGTATTCTGAAGAAGATGAAGCCCAGTAAGACCAACATCCTGACCACTGCAGTCTACTCATTAAAAATAACAGTGAACTCAGCCTGCTTATGTGAACCTTTTGAATAGTTTCAATACAAATATTTTAATGACAATGATCAATATAGGTTTCAGGAATTTTGCCTGGTGTCACTGAGTTCAATTTGAATTCCCACAAAAATCTATTCAGATACACAAGGTATTTTATAATTGCATTCAACACTTTCACTGTGTGTAGGCCATCAGTGACGTTAGATGACGCATCCAAATGATTCGCTTCGAAGGTTTTGCTAATGGCAAGCCTCATTTCTAATATAATAAAATACTCACAGCAGTTTAACTTACTGGCCTATTTTATTAGAAATTTCAAGATGGGGGCGGGGTCTTTTGTATTCTTAAAATCACCTAAATGGGTAAATGTGCCTATTCATACCTGCTTGCATTGCTGGATTGGATTGCTGTGGAACTATATTGTCATAAATTTGTATCCATACAAAACATATCCATCACCTTTCTCATGCCCTTGTGCTTTAATCGCCGGCTTTAAGTAGGATATGTGCTCGCATTATTGAAGATGCTGAAATCCGCCCTGCGCGTCAGAGGACTGAGGGGAGGGTCTGTTTGCGCGCTCCCGTGCGTGCCCACCTCCTGTCTGCCATCCTACCCCGGTCTATTCGCTGACTCAGTGCCTTAAACAGCATCACCGTTCACCTGAACAGAGCAACAGCATCCTCTGCGGAGAAATCCATCAGCCATGGCTAAAACAGCAACCGGTAAGCGTGTTCAGACTGATCATATTAAAACCGATGCTTGGATGCATGGATGGATGGATGGATGGGTTGATGGATTGATGGATTTATGACAGATGCATCCTTTCTGTATAAAGCTCATGTCGGCCTGGTATTGTCTGCCGGGCTGGTGGTCGTGCTCCTGTAATGCCTCCACTCAGATGTTCTCTTTTGAATGATATAAACTAAGGGAAATGAGATCTCTCACCTATATATCTGTCGACGGTGGGCCTATTGTCTCAGCATAAGATCTTTTAATGACAAGAAGAATCTGGGCTGACCAACCAAAGCCTCCTCCGTCATTAGGTTACCAAAATGTCTCCTTCATTTTTCTCATTTATGTCAATCTATTAGTCTTAAATTGCTTTGATCTTATTTAACACTGGATTATTAAGACACAATAGGGATTGGTTCAAGACAGCTTTATTTACAACGCCGCACCTGCTGTTCATGCTACAGCGGCCCCAACATGCAGCATAATGCAGACGGACCCCACCCAAGATGCTGGGCTGCCGACCATTTAGCCGACAGCAAAGCTGAAAGGGCTTCATCAGTCTGACTTTTATATCTACCTCGCTTTAATTAAACCTGCACATCTTTAACTGCTTATTTTAAAATGTGTTTCTGTACCCTGAACGTCTCCTTTTAATCGGTTATTTGCGATTACTCCTTTTATTCATGTCTGTAGCTTTTCTTATTTCTTCCTTGCAAAGGATGCATCACCAGCTGTGACAGATGTGCTGCCATTTGTTTCGCAAAACTAACCTTTTGGCATAAGAACAAATGAAAAGGTTCTCATTCTAGATAATTAGGCGTAGGAGTTGGAGCAGCGAATATTATATTAACAGCTAAGAAGTAGATTATAGCCTGCATTAGTCATCTCTTTTGATGGACAGTTATTGTTGTAGGCCAGGCATTTAGGATATTTGTTTTCATGGGTATGTTTAGGCTCTGTATACATATCTAAAACATTAATGGTGCCTCAACATAAGCATTCCATTTGGTCCCTCTGAAATACAGAACGGTGTGCAGACTGTGCCTCATTATGTTATGTGTGGTGGGGATGAGATGTAGCCGAGGAGACAGGTGCATGGCAGGGTGGGAGGCAGGCCAGCCCTGCAGCAAGGGGCGCCTCACACACTGGCCTTTGCAGCAGAAGGCTGAGCAGCACTGTCCTCTCCGAGCAGCCAGGTGGGCACTTTGTCAAAGACAGGAAGAGCAGGGAAAAAGTGACAGAATTTGCACACGAGATTAAAAATAGTCGCCAAGGAACTGATGAAAATACACCTCAGATCTGATATCAAGATCATTAATCAGCTGTATTTGACAGCTATGACAGTCAACAACGAGGTAGGAAACAGACAGATATAAATGCTTATTATTATTGTGGTCATGACACAGCTAAGAGTTAAACAGGAAATTAAATAATTTGATAGACGGTCTGTCACTCATCGCATGCATATAGCAATGGGATATTATAGAAGGCTCTGAATTCTTGATTTAAATGAGTCACAAATCTCTTACTATACATCCTAGAAAGGAATCTACACCCTTACAGACCGTGCCGATCCAATGAATTATTAAGCAGGGCACTTATGTACTTTCAATAGCTTTTTAACACTCCACTCATCTGAGGCTTTTGTTTTGTTTGTTTTATTGAGCATTTTATTTCCTCTCCAAACTCGGAATATCTTAGTTTGTAAATGTCTCTAGTATATTTGTGAATGTGTGACACTGTGGTAGTGAGGACACCTCAGCTGGGTATTAATTTGTTTTCATGAGTAACATATAGAGACTCACCTGGATGCTATGGTGTGTTTATGTTCCCACAGCATACAAAGAGAAGATGAAGGAGTTGTCTGTCCTCTCCCTCATCTGCTCCTGCTTCTACCCAGAGACACGCAACAAGCTTGAGCATGAGTTTGAAGGTATGGATCAGCTCAAACATTTTCTTTTGGATCAAAAAAATTGCCCAACACATTAGTGACAGTTATTGGACTGATTTATTGTTTATTGGACATTGATTATGCTGGTGTTCTCATCATAATTCTCTGTTTTACAGACATGGAGGTGAAACCTATTAACAAGCGGGCTTCTGGCCAGGCCTTTGAGGTGATTCTCAAGCCTCTGTCTCCAGTGTCAGACGTAGCCCATAACCTCCCCTCACCCCCCAAGAGGGACATCTCCTTGGATGACATTGAGAAGAAACTGGAGGCTGCTGAAGATCGTAGGAAGGTGAGTATTCTACCAGTTTGAAATGGCTTTGGGTGTTTTAAATGGAAAAAAAACAAAAAACAACAACAACCAAAAACACAGTTTGGATTTCAAACCCTTCAAGATTAATCATTTGGTCTATTCTTTTTTGCCATGCATTTTAGTATCAGGAGGCCCAGGTGCTGAGGGCTTTGGCAGAAAAGCGAGAGCATGAGAGGGATGTGTTGCTAAAGGCCATGGAAGAGAACAGCAACTTCAGCAAGATGGCAGAGGAGAAGCTCCAGATGAAGATGGAGCAGATCAAGGAGAACCGTGACGCCCATCTGGCAGCCATGCTTGAGCGTCTACAGGAGAAGGTGAGAAGTGCAGAAATGTTCAGAAGAAAAAACAAAAGTCCAATTGTCCACCCTTTCATTAAGAACACCCGAGTTCGGCCCTTTTCCTGATGACTGATTGTTCTCATGCTGTTGTTCTGGTGTTTTCAGGAGAGACATGCAGCTTTGGTGCGCAAGAACAAAGAGCTGAGGGAAGAGCTGACAGCATGAGCCTCAAATAAGTCCTGACTTCCATGGTCCATCAACGTCCCTCCATCCAACCCCGCCCCCCTCCTCTCCCTGCCCTCACCCTCCTCAGAACAGACACCCAACCCT